TGCTAGAGGTCAAGTCTCTTGCGCCATTTAATTTAATTCGGCAATTTATACGGGAGACAGATGTCAGACTTCAATTGACGGGTTTGTATCTTATATCTAATATTCTCAACACGTTGTAAGGAAATGTCCGTACAACTAAGTTTCCCAAGGTCAAGATTGCGAAATGTTGCCAATGAATACTTTAGCAAGGCTGATAGTTGAAAAAATGCTATACTCCGGCGGCCTAGAAAGCACCGTTGAAACATCTCTCGAGTACAAAACAACACAGACACAATTGCTTTTTTTTTTTTCTTTTTCATTCCATGCTTCATTACAGGGGGGTTTCCCGGTCGTCAATTTTCACGAAACGGTAGTGTCCTCGAAAACCAAACAGTGAGCACTAAACTTGCGAGTTCATCTGTTCTCTGCAATTGAGCACATAGTTATAGTCAGGCCGCCCACCTGCTTTTTCACTGCCTCCATACAATATTCTTTTAATTAATTTATTTTTATGAAAACTCGTAGCAGTGGATACGTCCAACACGGCCGTATATAGACTTCGCTAACCCTCCCCCAGCATTATTTAAGTCGTTTCGAAGCCAAACCTGGCCGAACGAGGAACATGATCAGATGAAGATGTTCGTTAAAACGTCCATATTTTAGGTTCGTAACCACCTCGTAGTTTTTTGGGTGGCCTGTTATCACTGTATCATTGGTTCTGTACCAGAAGGGATACATTTATATGACAGAACTAAGCGAAAGCGACGTAACACACCAACTCAGCCGCGAGCCCGCTGAAACTGAAATCAACCAAATTGACACCACCTTATGGCGTCGCGTATTTATTCATTTATTTATTTATTTATTTTACCCTCAGGGCACATGACATTACAGAGGGGAGTGGGAACAATAGTAAACATAATAAACAATTGGAACAAAATATACAATACTTAAAGAACAGGGGACATGAAATTGGCAATAGATGTACAAAAAAGTGCGTGGTCATTAATTGATGTGAGCGATGCAGGTAAGCGATTCCAGTCTTTGAAAGTCCTGGGAATAAAAGAGTCACAATAAACATTATAGAGTGGCAAAATGGGACACCGACTTTGTGACGATGATCAAGGCGTGCTGAAACAAAGTAAGGGGGGATGATTAGCAGTGATTTAAGCTGAGGAATATGGTGATAGATGTTATGAAAAAGACAAATACGAAAGACTGTGCGACGATGTGCGAGGCTTGGAAGTAACAAATTATCTTTCATTGATGTAACATTTGTGGTGCGGTTATAATTGGCCATCATGAAACCTGCAGCTCTGTTCTGAATACCTTCAAGTGAATCAACGAGGTAAAGGGTAGAGGGATCCCAGATGGAAGCTGCATACTCTAGCGTGGACCTAACTAGTGTTTTAAAAAGGAATAGTTTTAATGATGATGGGGAGTTACGTTTGAGAAAACCAAGCATTCGATTGGCGTTGTTAGACACATAGTTAATATGAAATTTCCAGGAAAGGTCAGCACTTAAAATCACACCCAGATACTTGCATGAGTTTACAACTTCTAGGGGTGTGTTATCAACACTATAAGCAAAATTGAAGTTGGCTTTACGTGTTATGCGCATTATTTTACATTTATTAATATTGAGTTCCATTGACCAGAGTTCACACCAGTGTAGTATGAAATCTAGGTCATGTTGCAGTATTTGTTAGTCAGAGTCAGTAGATATTACTTGATAAATAGCACAATCGTCAGCAAAAAGTTTAATTGAGGAAGAAAGCACCACAGGCAAGTCATTAATATATATTAAAAAGAGTAGAGGTCCTAGGACGGAACCCCTGAGGTACTTGGGAAGAAACTGGTGCAGAGGAGGAGTTAGTACCATCACACGTTACAAATTGTGACCGATTCGTTAGAAACGATACTAGCCAGTTAAACACGTTAGAGTCGATGTTAAGTTTACTTAACTAAGCAGTAAAAGTCGGTGCGATACCTTGTCAAATGCTTTGGCAAAGTCTAGAAATATGCAGTCCACCTGAGATCCCTGATCAAGTGCCGAATGAAAGTCGCTGGTGATAGACAAAAGTTGCGTTTGACAAGATAAATATTTATGACAGCGCCCGCTGTTCATCGGTTAGGTAACTACTGAGACGAAAATGTCTATAGCAGTCTCGTCATGATCTACAGCAGCCTAATCAAACGTTAGAGCGTACGACTGAAAACCACAGCGTTGTAAAATAAGGGCCCAAAACACCTGCATGTAAAACGGAATATAACCTTAGACTCCCGAGGCAGTATTTTGAGAAGTTCCGAGTTCATGCTAGCCGATGCCCAAATGTGATTTACGTGAGGATTATAGGAATCTTCGTCTTTCCTTCGCACTATTTATGTGTCATTAGAAATATTACATCTCTGTATTGCTTTTTGGAGTAAGCATTATTAAAAACAAAAATTATTATCAATTTCTTCACATTTCGTGTATTTAACTCCCCCCCCCCCCCCAAAAAAAAAAAAAAAAAAAAAGTTTTCGCAGATCGGTTTAACAGCAGGCGTATTTTCAAGTATCGTCCTCCCGTGTCGGTCTCAAGCGCTTATGCGAACTTCATACCGTCAAATTTATTGATGATAAGAAATACATATTTAATTACTGACAGAAGATTTGAAAACATAAAGAAATGGTCGATCAATTTAACGATATACATAAAAAATAAATGTGTCCCCAAATGATCTGAAAAATTCTATGCAAATCTTTTCCGACGTTTTTATCCTCGATAAGCACGTGTATAAGTTATTTAGGAGAGCGTTAAACAAATTTAAGATTTTAAAGCTGATTTAAAGAACTATATGTTCCTCACACATAAATAACTTCTAAAACATACAGGTCCCCGTTATTGCCGCTTTTTTGTGATGAACACAATTTTATGTGTCTGGAGGCAGGACAAAAACAAAGCACACACGATTACGCACTCATACTGTCAGAAAGGGACAAATTAAATGGCTGCCATGTCCAGTAGAGAATGAAATACTACTAAATTACAAATAGCGCTAATACAAGGACAGACGAAGAAGTGGACAGGACAGGCGCTAACTCACAACTGACAGTTTTATATACAACGAGAAAGAAGAAGGTGAAGGAAGGGGCTGGTGTTGAAAAAAAGAGAAGAAATAGTTATATTTCTAGCCGGAGCATTCTAATAAAGGAACTTATTAGACTAATAGGACTAAAATACAGTTGACCAAAACAAAAATATTAAAAATTAAACAAAGGTATAGAATTTGAACTATATACGATATTACGATCAGTGCCTCGTACAGCCTATAGGGAGTATCCACTGGTGGCCATTGCTGTCTACGCGACTGCTGAGCGCGTGCTGATGGCAAGATTCCACAGCTCTTTTGCAAAGTGAATTTCGCACCATCAAGACTGCTGTTCTTAGTAGCCTATTAATGTGAGCTCGTTCTAAGCATGCGCTCTAAACAGCACCCTCCAATCTGGTTGAGGCAACGTTGCACAACGTTGCTTCAGAGAAGATTTTCCTGCGGAGTGATATGAGTTCCAGGCAAAGGTAGAAGAAGAGGAAGATCACTTAAAGAAGACAGAAGAAAAGGGATGAGAACATTCCGACAGCTGAAAGGTCAATGCGTCAAAGGAAAAGAAATTCCAAATTAAGAGTAAAAAAAAAATTAAATTAAGTGTAAAGAATTAAAAAAAAATCTAAGTTAATGCAAAGAAAAAGAAAACCGAAATCAAGGATTAGCAAAAAAGGAAAAAAAGGCATCATGAAATGTTGCTAGTCCAGCGGTGCGAATGTTATATTTTTTCTCTGTGTGTTTTTCATGTTCAGCTGGCCCCATTCACAAGCAAATGGATCTTTCGTACTGTCCATTATTCTCTCTTAAAAATGACTTCATGTTTACTTACCCACAAAACATTCAAAGAGCAAATCTCTGCGATCTACGAAATCAGCTCAGCGGCGGAACATCCGTTTAGACCTAAAAATAAAGTCTGCGCTTTGGCATTACGCCATGCAAGCATGACGCTTTGCATTGCGCAGTCCCACAGCACAGACTTCAATTTTTGGTCTAAGCGAATGTTCCGCCTCATCATTTGCTGAGCTGATTTCGTAGATCGCAGAAATTGACTCTTTGGGTGTTTTGCGGGTAAGTAGACGCGCAGGCATTTTTTAGACAGTTGGTTTAGAATAACCGAACTATAAACTACTCATCATCTTAATTCACAACTTTTGGTCAATCGTCCTCCTGTCGGAGACTTGGTTCGAGGATTTCTTGGAAGGAAACTTCTGCAAACAAAGGCTGCCATTATACTCCGTTCACCCTTAAGCTGAGACTGCAGCCAAAGGTATACAAGCGCGAGCTAGCACGCGCTCCTGGCTTCGAGACGTGCATGTCTGGCGCGAGCGCTCGTTCTGTGGAAGAACGCTTCAAAGCAGCCACCTCGAGCTTTCGTGCTTGTGGCATTGGCTCTCAAGTTAAGGCTGAAGGATGTATATATTTGAGCTCAATGACAGTTGGGGATGCCAATGATTCTTGGTTGAAAGACAACCAAGAGCACTCGTGTAACTAGGGTATAACTTGACCGTTACTAAGCGCAGTTACTAAGAAGGAAGCGAATCTTCTGACAAGTATAGTTACCAACTTTTAGTTAGTAAGTACCACTAACTTTTTTTCCTAAGGGCGTAGGTCAAAGGGTCCTTCTGGACTCTCGCTAGGTCTCCTCGTAGATTCCATTGTCTCTCCAAGTACACAACCGGGAAATTAGACTGGCCCTCAGCTTTTAGAGTGCATGCGTTTCCGCCATAGAAGATTGAAGATGTACGTACTCGCTCTCGCGGAAAGCTCGCACTGGAGATGGAGCTTCTGGCCCAATTTTAACTTGTATCTGACTATTATATTGCTTCGGATGTGCAATTAGTATAATAGAAATTCTGAAGGCTAAATCTAATATTTGCCGAGGGATAAACGAGCGCATGTCGAGAAGAGACAAAGAGCTCGCGTCACGTCCAATGCGTGAGCAGCATTTGGTCACGTGTCTGCAACCGTGTAGGCGTGAGCGGATAACGATAAAGTAAAAGAGAAATTCTGGAAAGAAAGTTAACCAGTCTGCTCTTAGGTTCGAAATTTGAGTGGAAATCAAGTTTCTTGCTCCTTGCCGCGATGTCGTTTGTGTCCCATGCGATATTTACTTATACTTGAGGGCCAACCTTTTGTGGCAATGAAGCCAAAGCTGTATGGGCGCCCGTGCGCTCGCACACCTCGGGCGTCAATGAAAAGTGTGCACGCGTACTCTTCACTTCTAAAATGCCGCACAAAGCATAGCCCGAGTATTGTCCACTCCTGTAGAGTGCCTTCATACACACGCGCGCCTTTGCTTGAGTGGTGACATCTCAGCCATTTTTCCGCTCAATTGTTTTTCATGCCTTTTGAAGTGTGCGCAATCCGGTGTCACTCAGCTCGAGCGCGTAGCTTTGGCTAATGCATAGACGCCATTTTACCGCCCAAGTCATGCACCGAGTGCGCGAGAGCGTCACGCGCTGGCACATTCAGTGCAACAATGGATGTCTTCACCCTGAGACAGACAGACATGCAGGCACCCTACACTCCTGCAAAATCGACGACACCCAGCGGCTAGAACAGGAAGCTCTGGCGGCAGGTTCGCTCTCCAGCCTTCTCAAGTGAATCAGATATTCACAGCGCCTGTTGGTCTAAAAACGAAGCCGTGAAAGTAGGTTCGGAAACGCGTGGTGAATATCGCCAATAGTAAAGTTTGAATATTCAGTACCCTTTCATGGTCCCTTTTAAACCCTCCGGGTAATTGAGGGCACAGTTGAGTATTGTAGAAAATAAATACTTTATTTTTGAGCATTACTGAGAGCTGTGTTATTTTTAATTTTTCCTTGAATTCTGCCTTGAAGTTTGCCTTGAATTTTGCCTTGATTTCAATCTTCAGGAGCCTGCAAAGGAGGAATAGTTACTTTTTGCGCGACGCTCTCTTCAAAGCGGATTTTGCCACGCCAGACTCCCCAGCCACGTTGCGCTTTCTGGACCTCCGTTTCGCAGCAGGTTTCTTGCTCGCCCCGACTTTCCTGTTCTTCGCTGGGGATGACCGACCAGTTGCGGACTTGCTGCGCCTAGACCTTCGCCTCTTGCTCTTCCCTGACGTCGCCTTCCTTGCCCTTGACCTCCTAGTCGTGGCGCTTGCACTTCTAGCCCTCGAGCGCGATGACGGGCGGCGCCTAGTGCGCCTCCTCGTTCTTCGCTTTGCCGGAGTCGCGGAAGACGACCTGGAACGGCTCCTGGAGGCAGCAGCCCTGTTCCTTTTACGTCCCCGGACTCGAGAGGGGGACGCCATGGAGGCGCCCTCGCCTACCACGCTGGTGGATGCGGGTGCCATGAGAAAAGATTTAGTCCGCCTGGCCTGGACGTTCTCTCTGTCGCACAGTGTCGCACGTCTGGGCCTCTGCAAGAATACATGGAAACCGCGACAGTCGGTCTCGAGACATGCGAGGTGACGTTTGAAACTGTTGGCAGGCTGATGTCCATTAAACCCATTCACGCACAAACAAAAATAAAATCCATTTACGTTATCCGGAGCAACAAAGAAACTAATTTATCAGCTCCTTTCAAAAGTAATAATAGAAGAATTACCGAATTACCACATTTGGTGAATAATTTTTTTTTCCTTTTTCAGTACGAGTAGATCACATAATTGCAAACGCTCTACATGATATAGGGAGTATTCAATGGCGGCCATAGCTGTGCGCGCGACTGCTGAGCCCGTGCCGATGGCGAGCTTCCACAGTTATTTTGCAACGTGCACTCCACACCATCAGGATTGCCGGTCTTAGCAGCCTGTTAATTTGAGCTCGTGCTGATTATGCGCTCTAAACAGCGTCCTCAAATTTGGCCTCCAGTGAATACCCCCTATGGGGAGTATTCACTGAGAATTTTGAATCGCTCTACGGAGTTAAACTGAGGGAGGGGAGCATGCAGCGACGTCCGAGCGCCGAGCTCTGATTGGGATGGTCAGTGGGTATGGTACAAAGGCCTTCCTCTCTCCCTACTCTTAACAAACTAGTCTAAAATAAAATATATTCTGGAAAATAAAGGAGGTCTTGACAACTGGGCTTTTGGTGGCTAAAGAAACACTGGGTTTCATATTCTCGGAACTACAAATTCGGGTTACATGATGGAAACTATGGTGGTCGCGTATTGCACAACGCTCTCGCTCTGAGTATCGCAGGTAGACTGCCGCATATAGTTCTCGTGCGCAGCTTGATCTCGCGAGGCTGTAACCAGATGCCGCATCCAATCTAGAGTCGCGCCTTCATGGGACGGGGATCCACGTGTGAGACCCTTGACGCCGAGGAGTCACTGTAAATACAAGCTTCCCGAGAACACAACCTTCGTGCCCTTCGAGCTTCATAGGCGATTTCAGGAATGCTCCCGGCAAAATAAAATAAAAGGGCCAAAACACAATAGCGCTCGCTTACACTACTGTCTCCCTTCAATCAGACAGAACAAGAGCGTCATCTGGCTTGCTATGTTGCGCTTTTTGGACTCCCAGGAGACTAGGGAGAAGGAAGTGACGTCAACAACGCAGCAAATGCAGATTGGATGTTGATTTTGTTTTCTCCTGTCAACATCCAATCTGCGTTTGCTGTAACGTTGACGTCACTTCCTTCTCCCTAGTCTCCTGGGAGTCCAAAACGTACAACATAGCCCCCTGCTCCTCGGGCAAGGCCCAACGTTCGAACGCCGATCGCCTGGCCCTGCGCGCTCTCGAACCGGAAATTCGTAAGATCCTTCACTTACACCGAGAAAGCCGTCTGAATCGAACAAACTAGACTCGGGCCTGCCTATCATACGAAGGCCTAGGCGGTCTTGGCATAGGACCTCGTCCTACTTACGGACTGGCTGCTGTTTGCTCTCGTGCCGGAACCCCGAGGGCAGGCGACGTCGAACGCCGAAGAGGAACGCGGACGCTCTCTGGATGTCAGCCAGGCGCGCCAAGGGCGTCGTAGCCTCCTCTTGGGGACTGCTGGCCGGTTCTTGAGCTTCCACTGCAGCTGGTCCGAACCTGTGCGTCCGACTCCTGTCACTGCCCGCGTTCCGAATGAGGCACTGGGCCCGCGGTTCACGCGATCTCGTGCTCGCGCTTGTGGCGCTTCGTCCTTTTCGGCTCAGATTATCGGCGTCTCGTGGTCGGGAAACAACGGAGTATCCTGGCGGCACTAACGTCCAGTGTTGAAGGAGGTAAAGAAAAAAAAAAAGGTAACGAAATACGTTACTTGCAAATAGAGAGTTTTAGTAATATAAGAGCAATTGCAAGCCCCCTACGTTAGCGTTAACACTGCGTCCTCCACACTGCGCATAAGCCATCCCAGGCAGCACACCAATGTCGGTCCGACATTGGCCTAACATTGGCAAAGACCGGCCTCAATATTGGACAATATTGGAAGCGCTACCCTTTTCAATGTTGGCCCAGTGACCGGTGCCAATGTTGGGCCAATGTTCAGCCATCGTTCCAGCCGATGTCGGCCCCATCATTGGTGCCAATGTTGGGCCATCGCTAAACCATGGTTCCAGCCAAGGTGCTCCCACATTGGCGAAGACCGGCGTAATATTGGACAACACTGGAAGCGCGACCCGATCCAATGTTGGCCGTCATGCTGATTTTTGGCCATCGTTGCACTCGCCCAGCTCTTTGCAAGTGCCCTCGCCAAGTTGTTTGCAAAAAGGAAGGTAAACAGACACAAGGGATTGTTTTGAAATCTCCTAACAGTTTATTACGCACAGCTTATTCTGTAGACAAGCACAATCTCAGCAATTCGTAATATGTGAAGATCTACTACTCAGCTGTGATACAATTAAAAAGACTGCAAAGCAAGCAACAACCGGGGTAATTCTTGGGTAGTGTCCAGTCTCCCGGCAGCTGACAGAATTGTTTCGCCAAAATTCTACCACTAGTCGCCCCTCATTGGCGGTGCAATCAGTTCATCGAACTACATTTCATAGACAGATCGTTTCATCAACACGCGATGTTTCATAAAAAAACTCAAAATATGTTTTGTTTTCTTCTTTTTTTGTTGCAATGAACCGCTTCAGATTAGCATGAAGCGGCGTGAAAGGGTGGGCTGGTTCGGTGAGCACGCGCCTCAGGAATACACGCGCGACGAAATGCCCCTACAGCGCGCAATTCGCGTAACGAATGTCGATGAAACGTAAATGTCGACCAGAAAGGTGGCAACGAAACGTGTTTTTGCGAAACGCAGGTAGAATAAAAAAGTCACTATTCTACCTGCGGTTGTGACATTATTTCAGACAGATAATGGCAGGCGACTGTCGGTAAGATTGCGGGAAAATTATTCTCCCAGCTGCCAGGAGATAGGCAATGCCCAATTCTAGAGGTTATCCGGAAGATTGCCCATACAAGAACGGACAATGATCATCAAGTAGGTTGCAGCACACTTACGTTGAAAATACTGGACTTGAAAGATGTAATCCGACTGATATGTCAACACGGGCACTGCAGAACAACCACTCAAACACAAAAACTACAAGGAAGTGATCCGTGAAGATTCAACACAATGTAGCACACGCTGCCATTAGCCGAACCGGACACTAAACTGTGCACAAGAATGTCTTGGGCCTCTTTGAAGAAATCGACACGGGTAGGACTTTTCGAACGAGATACCATTTACCACAGAAGCGAAATCCACAGCGGGCCTGCACCCCGCAGGCCGCATCACGCGCGAAACTAGGTCCGGTCCTTGCGACGCAGGCATTCCGAGTTTGTCAACGGGTAATGTGTCATCCGTCAAACCACATGATCACACTTCTGCCGTTACCCGCGCAGAGAGAGCGGATTCAAGTCCGGCGAGTACGCACAGCAACCGCGCCTTCAGCTTAGGGAGAGAGAGAAAAAAGAGAGAAGGAGTACAAAGCAAGCAGGCCAGAACGGGGGTGGGGTGCGCTTACAAAGGCTTATCTTCAGGGGCATCTCAACAATGAACGGAGCGAGAGAATTTGTCACTTCTACCCAAGGTTGATACTGCAGTAGAAGTTATGCGTGACCTTGTGCTTTAGGCAGGTTCCGTGCTCTGCCTTATCGCCAGCTTTGAGACAGTAGTCACGTGACCCTAACCGGAGACAGGATTGGCCTTAAACACGCATAGCGTCTACCTTGCTGTCATTACCGATTTAACAGGACAGCTCTTTGAAGGTCAGCTTTCGAACTTCTAAAGAAACTGTCCAGTCCAAAAGTGGTTCTAAACGGGGCAAGTGTGACGACAGTATGTTTTGCGTCGTATAACTTACATTATAATTTAGAATGAAGAACTAAGCGCGACTATTTTTTGCGCACGATGTACACAAATATATCTATAAATATATAAATATATTTTTTATCAATAAATTTAAAACTGTTTGTACACTGTTAGGTTCGCGTTTTTAAACTTCAAATTTTTTTACGAAAGAGTTGCACATAAAAGACACCTCGAACAGCACATCGTCCGACTTTCAACACACAATGAATCACCGACGCTCGCAGTAAGAAGGTTGCGATGCTGCGCGAACGGTTTCTGAAATATGCTGCGTAGGGTACGCCGGGCGCAACGGCTTCGCGACCGTTCGAAGGGCAAATGATTCGCGACAACAAAGTAGCGTCTTGCAGCATCAGTAAGCTAACGGGGCTCGAGAGTCCCACGCTCACATTTCCGCAGAGCGAGCGCGGCCGGCCAGATCGAGGCGCAGTATATATGTATCTGTTTGCTTACTTTTACCACTTTGCAAGTTGGTTCCATCACGTGTCGCACTGTCGTGCAGTTTTGCTTTATATGATTTGTCTAATTTTCATGTAAGTTTGTGAAAAATGTTTCAAATAAAAGGTTAATTAAACCACTGTTGAGTTCCCATTGATTAAGTTATCTATATGCCATATTTCATTGAGTTTTGAAAACCAGGTGACATTTAGCCTCTATTTTAATTCTTAAAACTGACGAATGCTGTTCCCAACTTGCTCCAAGACCTCGTTTTTGCTGCTAGCCTGCATGAAAATAGTTTTTTTCTGCTCCCAAAATTTCTCCAAAGCTGCTTTGCCCAGTTTCATCCCTGTATTTCCAATACTGGAAATTGTGGCTTTAACACTCCAATATTGAACAGCATATGGCAGCATACATTCAATATTAGAAAGCCCTTGGCCTTGGCAGTGCAATATGACCAGCACAAGTCAGCATACTTCCAAAATTGGAAATCCAAATTGGCTTTTACAGTCCACTATTGGACCAGCTTATGCCAGCATGAGTTGATCTTGGAAAGCTGTTGGCTTTGACAGTTGAATATTGACCAGCTTACGCCAGCATGCATCCGATATTGGAAAGCCATTGGCTCTAACAGTCCAATATTGGACAGCTAATGCTGGCATGTATCCAATATTGGAAAGCCATTGACTCTGACAGTCCAATATTGTACAGTTTATGCCAGCATATATCCAATATCGGAAACCTATCGGCTTTGACAGTCCAATATTGGATAACTTATGCCGGCATATATACAATATTGGAAAACCATTGACTTTGACAGTCCAATATTGGACAGGTTATGCCAGTATATATCCAATATTGGAAAGCCATTGGCTTTGGCAGTCCAATATTGGATAACTTATGCCAGCATATATCCAATATTGGAAAACCATTGGCTTTGACAGTCCAATATTGGACAGGTTATGCCAGCATTTATCCAATATTGGCAAGCCATTGGCTTTCACAGTCCAATATTGGACAGCTTATTCCAGTGCATCACCAATATTGGAAAAACATTGGCTATGATAGTCCATTATTGGCCCAGGTAATTCCAATATTGGTAAACACATGGCTCAGTTGGGCCATTGTTGGGCCATTATTTGTCCCATCAATTCCAATGTTGGCCCAATATCGTGTGCTGCCTGGGATACGTACGTACTGCAGCGAGCTATGCGTACGTACGCTCGCTGTCGCTTTTTGCGAGCGTAGGTAGCGGTCCCCTGCGTGCCATTCTCGTTGCTCTCGTCGTGCACAGGAAAGCGCGAGACTACTCCAGTTTGGAAAATGGCGGCGGTGAGGCAAACCAGTGGAAGTGCTACGCGCGTTGTGCGGGTTCGCTTCACCATTGAAGATGACCTCAACCTCGTGGAAGAAAGAGGAAGAAGAAGGGAAAAAGGTCATGGCTCGTGGCGTGTGAGTACACGTGGAGTTCGGAGCTGGAGACAGATGAAAGAGCCGGTGCCGAGCAAAGCCTTTAACTGAAGACCCGGACCACTGACAGCCTTGGCCCTCCTCTTCATCGGACTCTGAACTTAAGTTCAGATAAAACCTTTTTCCAGTGATAGCGCTTCCCCGCGTGACTTCCTCGGAGCGAGAGGAACTCGACGTGATCGGGCAATATTGACAGGCGACCCACAATCTTCTCAAAGAAATCAACGCGACGAACCCTTTCGAGCGCCCACAAAGATGGGCATCGGTAGCCAAGAACGTTGGCAACGCCGTCGAACCCAAAAAGGCGTTTACCATGCGGTCGGTACGCGAGCGGTGCGACCTATTGCTTGCATACCTCCAAGCGAATGACGAGGCCAACATAAGATAGTAGGGATCCCAAAACACACTGGAGGGAACAAACTGCTGGTCGCACAACCAAAAAAAAAAAAAGACAAAACACGTTCACAACAGGCAACTGGAAAGAGATTTAAGCACTTCGTAGGAAAGCGAGGAGATTCGCGGTGTAAATTGGCTTGTCCGAATACCCGCCTTGGATTGTTTGAGGCAGTTCGCAGGAGCACCTCTAGATGGCGCTGCAAGTCTTTACGTATCGTTACGTATGCGTTTGCCTTCCACTATACTAAAAGTGCGCGTTCAACGCGCTCCGTAACGTTACGTCGACAGCTAGCGTGCGTTGTACGCAGTGCTGACGCAAGGGTCTTTACGCTATTCTAAAACTCTCTAATGAAAGGAACGTGTTACCGACCTTCGTTACCACAAAATGAAAGGAACGAGTTACCGTTACCATTACCGATAAAAGTAA